TTAAATACTGGTCAGCCATTTTTAAACAAGGTCTTGCCAACCAATGAGTCACGTGACCATTTGATTACGTCACAGCGAACTTCCTAATAAAACAATCACAAATATTTATCATCTCAACATTAAAAAACATTTTTTATGCAGTAATATGCTTTTTTTTTTTTAGAGGTTGATTTCTCAAAGCATAAAATATTGCCTTTTTGGTTATAGATCTAGGTCGAAAATTCTCAGTATGTGGTCCATAAATTAATTATATAACCAATGGTTTAAGTGATAGGTCATAATAAAAACTAATGGTCTGCAACTACCTATTGAATGAAAAGGGGACTACATTTTGGCTTTTTTACTGAAATGGTGAAAAAATATAAAAAGATGGAGAAAACTGTCTTCAAACTTTAGATACCATAATTTAGAATTGTTAATTTTTTAATCCTAAAATTTTTACATGAAAGTGTATCATACATGTGAGTTATACAAGTGCATTGCTTGACATTTAGAAACAATGTTGCAACAGTTCTGTGATCACTTTTCCAGACTTTTTATTATAAATAAGTCAGTATTGTTTTATAATTTCATAAACACATTTATGACAATGAAATCTTTTTGATTCAGAGCAGTAATGAGAAAAACATTTTGCAAGTCAAAGAGACTATTGATTAAGACATTTAAAGCAAGTATTAATAATATCTCTGTCTTTTCCGATATATTTATGACAGTGCTGGAAGCATAAAGTGGTATATCTGTAGCTAAGGAATTTTTCAAAGACTGGTAACCAACCAAGAGAAAGAATAAACATAATTCATTTATTAGGCGAATGCTTATTTACTACCTAGTTGATGTATTCTTGGCTTTTTCCACATTAATGATAAAGTATGTGCAGAAATATCCATTTAGTATATAATGGTGTTTACGTGATTATATTTTAAAAAGGCAGATATAAAGCTGAGAAAAGTCTTTCAAGTCATACTTTGAGACACCGTGAGAATGTTTTGTGGTTTTAACATTATTTTGCATCATTTACCATTATATAAGCAACTATAAATTTCTGTAGAATGGAGATATTAAAGAAGTTTTTTAGTTGTTCACTCATATCAGTAGTTCTGTGCCCATGTCTTTACAATATTTCAGCATCAATATGTCTGCAAAATTTGCAAGTATAATGTATATTTGTATGTGTATTTTAATATATTTTGTTCCTGTAATAATGAAAATCATTTTGAACGGTAGTTCTGTTAAAATTATTCAGGATTCTTTTTCATTTGTTCCCACCGGTTGTGTTTTCTTTTTGTAGACATTGCTTCAGGATGGCCATTAGACCTTTAGTGAAACATAGGATTGTGAAAAAAAGATTGAAAAAATTCATTCGTCATCAATCAGACAGATATGCAAAGATAAAGGTCGGTATTGTACTTAAAATATAGTCTTATGTGAACAGTCATTTTACTCAAATATTTTGCAGTAAAACTAGGAAAGGATCAGTCACCATTTTGTTAACTAGTATACTACTACTTTAAGCTTATATGTGTTACACATAGCTGATAATTTAGTTTTGTATAATTCAGTATCAAATTTATACTAGGATAACTAGAATAACACATTACTGTATTGTGATATTTTCAAATAACATCTTGAACTGGATTGAAAGATGAGTGTGTGATGTCATCCAGAAACTTGTTTGGTGCAAGTTATAAGAGTATAATACTAATAAATCCCTAGTGAGATGAGAGCAGGGTGGTGGTTGAGAAACAATGATAATGAACCAATTAGGGAGTAGCACGGCGCAGCGACCAGGAACCAAATCCAGAAAAATTTGTATATATACCCTTGTAAGGCACTATGGTGTCCCACTCTTCTGAAGAAGACTTGTAGTCAAAACGTTGAGAGAATAAAGATCCTGTAATAGCATTCTTAGTCTCATTGCTACCTTAGTATCCAAAAAAGCACACTAAGTAGATCAAAATCAAGTTTATAAGTTTAATTAAACAACTCTAATTTACTTTTTAACTTGAAAGTTAGTGGCTGAAGTGCCCTATTTAGAATGCTCAGAGTGCTAGGACCCTACCAGGGCACTATCCTAGGACATTGGCTTGTTTTAAATGTTCACTGTATTTCTTCACTTTTATCCCTGATTTAAGGATGTACATTGCTATATATATACAGCTTTTTGTGTGACTTGTATGTTATTATGGTTCCTGTAACCCAGAAAGGCATGGACTTGTAAGCCCTTTAGCAAAGGCTGATGGAGACTTTTTTTTTCAGTTGAAAGTTCATGTGTTTAATTTTCTAAATAGTGAAATAATATGCCCATAGTTTACAGTCATATATATCTTTGTTCATACTCGTTTGTCTTATAAAGCTTTTAAATGTTATACATGTCTGAACTTGACGTTGTTGTGGTTTTTGTTTTAGCCTAATTGGAGGAAACCTAAAGGTATCGATAACAGAGTCAGAAGACGATTCAAGGGTCAATATCTGATGCCAAATATTGGTTATGGAAGTGCAAAAAAAACTAAACACGTTCTTCCTAATGGATTTAAGAAAGTACTTGTGCACAATTCTCGGGTAAGAAATTTATTTTTATTATATACTTTAATTATGAGGATTATTTTGTAATTTTAGCTTATTATACAGATTTAGGACTCACCTGAATCTTCAGAGATGGTCAAACATTGTTACATATTTGGATTACATCTAAAATACTATTAACAGTGAGGATACTTAACTGATGATTCAAAACAGGTAGAATTACCTCTGAAATACTAAAACTTTTTCTTGTTGAGTTGCTTTTCATGCTGTCGACAACCATTTTAAGTTCTTGATGTCTTTTATTCAATCTAAAGCATGCTTCAACTTGCCCAGAATACTCCACCTTCCACATGACTTAGTGTGTGTGTATGTGTCAGGATAATGGATATAAGCCAGAGTTTTCTTATTGACAGTCAAGCTGTTCAATTCACTCACTATGAATTCTTAAGTCACGCTTATTGATCGACATGTTCAGGCTAACCTGATGTCTTATCAAAGGAGAAACTTTCTGTGGCTTTCAGACAGATATACTTTAATATGAAAATATTTCAGGAATGAGAGCAATGCCTAAAGAAATTATAAAAAAATTCCAGATCTGTGGCTTATTCCTAAGTATTGTAAACTTCCCATTATATTCTTTTGTTTATCCCTTTAGAAGCTCTTATCTAGTCATTTTTTCCACATAAATAGTTATGATGTGCTCTATCCAGTTAATTTAAATGTTGCATGTAACTGTTTTTTATGTTATGCTTCATTGGCTACAATGATTATTGTTAGTATCACTAATGTGATACAAAAGGATGGAAACAAAACCTTTAGTAATAAATTAGTAGCAGTGGAAAAATAATCACATGAATAATTATATTTTCTAGAGATGATAGTTTTTTAGCAAATACAAACTTGTACTCTGGGATGGGCAAAATCAAGTTCTAATAAAACGCTCAAGGGTGTTGCTTATTTTCAGAGGTGAAAGTTTGAACATTATTTTTCTTTGCAAATTACCTTGAATAAATGTTAATACAAAATATCAGTTATAAAATATTTGTTGAGGAAAACATAACTATATTTTATTAATAAATAATATTAATAAACATAATTATATTATATGCGTTTTTCATCTACCAAGTTTTTTAAACTTATTTTTGTGCTTTATGATTTTGATAAATCTCTGAGTCAACTGGATTAATATTATAATTTTTGATAGGAAAGTAGGATGCACATATGGTCTGGAAAAGTTTGGATATCATATAGGGATCTGTAGGGCTTGCTGTGAATAAAGTGGTTGTATTGGTTTTCTATCTTCCCGAAGTTAACCACTCTCACCAATCTAGAGATGGCCACCTGGAAAGTAATGGTTATCTCAGTAACTGCTCAACTCGGGCTTTAACCCTTTTGAGATGGGTCACGGGTGAAAGGCCATGTCATCTTGTTGTTGACTTGCATTCAAAATTTTATTGAACTATTATTTCATGAATTTATGTCAATAACTTTGATATCAAACTGTAAATTATAATTCAAATGTTAGTACTACATATTACTCAATTTCTTAATTTAAAAAGCAAATATTAAAAGAACACCAATAAACATCAATTTTTGTGTGTCATGGGGTATATTGAATGCAGCACTGGTTCAAATTAAATGTTTATGAAGTCAAAATACTAAGTATAGTTTCATATGAATTAGAAACTCAAACTACCGATATTGAGAAGCTAGAATATAAAATAAGAATCACTTATCTTTTCAGTTTACTAAGATATTGCTCATGTTATAAATCAAACACAGTGGCACCCCGCTCACCTCTTTCCATTTTTGGAAATGATCCGTTATATACACTTAATTCTATATATGACATGAGTAACCAATCAGATACTCGGAATGTCCCCCTCATGGCTTTCTCAGTCATTTTAATGGGCTTGGCACCATTTCTTTTTTTTTGAACCAATATTTCAAGGAAGTATTGTGTGTCTTAAGTCTACTTGAAATTTCATATTTTTTTTACTAAAATACATCTTAGTTACTAAGCTTGATAGTAGAATTCTATGGTACTAATGTAGTAACTTATGATATTTTAGTTATTAAAATGTATCTAAAAAAAATATTTTGTTTCATATCCTCCATGTGCAAATTTTTCAAAGGCTTAGCAACCCACATCAAGCAGCAACCGAGTACAAAATTCGTAACTAGAAGAGATAATTGTTTGCTTTAATTCTTTAATTACTGTTCTTTGTTTTAAGAAAAATAAGCTTAAGAACTTATTTCAAAATAGCATTAATCTATATACATATATAATGTATAATAATTGAAACCTTTTTTTACAAAATACAAGTCTACTAAAACAAAGCAAAGACAAGTTACTTTGTACAGACCAGAAGTCAGTTTTATGTTATTTGAAACAGTAAAATGAGTGCACGTGAGCCGCATTATTCTGTATTATTAGCCAGGCAAGGCTGAAAGGTCAGTATAATAAAAATAAAAATAATAAATATATATAAATGTATAATGTTATGAGATTTAAACTATTTA